TATCTTACATTAATAAGTTATTTAATTATATATCCAGTTCCATATGTAACTCTTAAAATTTGAGTATAATTTTTAAAATTCAACACTAATTTACTTATATTTTAAATTATTTAAAATTATTGTGAATTATCATTATTGTAATTTTTATTTAAAATATTTTATTATTAAAAAACTATATAATTATTTAATAATTATTTTTAAAAAAATATTACATATTAACATTTTTTTTTTTACCAGATAGATGATTAGGAAGTTAGTAGAGTTAATTTGTTAGCAGTTGGAATTTTTCTAAGAAAGTGAACGTTTCACCCCTCATTTTGAGGCGCGCGACCATTAAGTCGCAAGTTGATGGAGTTCACGGCGGTGGCAGAACTCAAAGCCCTGACCTCCACCTCACCCAAATCCTAAAACTTGGGGGCCAACCAATTGGGCCACAGGCCGGTTGGCTATTACATATTAACATGTCTATTAAATTATATAAAATATTAATTAAAATCATTTTAATTATAATAAATTAACACTTCTTTAAAGTGTTATATAAAAAAATATTGTAAAAAACAATTCTCAAACGCAACCTTGGTCAACTAAAACGGCATAACTTTGTTGAATCCCCTTTTCAAGAAAAACACGGAAGCCAAACATGCCCTTATTTTTATAACATGGGAAATTTTTACTCAAATTCCCCACGTTAGTCAAATCGAAAGCATCATATTTCTTTCTTTATCTCTTTCGCCCAAGAAAGGAAACAGACAGCGGGAACCTAAAAAAGGATAGTTAATTTACTCAATTACCTTAATTGGTATTATAATTGAAATGTATTAATTTTTTTTCACTTGGGGTTGGTGCAACTGCGTTTTAGTTGTTTTTTTTTTATTGGTAAAAACGTTTTAGTTGTTACCACAAGGAAACATGAAAGTAAACAAACAAAGGGATTAAAGAGGAAGGGGCAGATTTGGAAAGTTGAAAAAAGTTTGTGGGTGTGAGCCGAGGCATGATGCCGTGGAGGGTGTGTTTGGTATCAGAAAAGGAAATGGGAATAATGGTAGGAAAAGGAAAAACTTTCCAGAAAAGTCCAATCCAAGAGTACGGGAAGAGGGCCATCTTTGCTACTTTAGTTCTACCATCGACCAATGGCCTTCCTCGGCAGTTCCTCGTATTTATGACTTCTCTTTCTCCCTCACTCGTCCACCTCTGGCGCGTGTCTTCACCTCTACTTACCTTTTACGATTTGTTTGGTAAGAATGCTCTTAAAATTAAAAGAGTTTTTTATTTTATAATTTAAATTATATTAAATTATAAAATAAAAATTTTTAAATGAGTTATGATTTTGAATTGTGAAACAATTTTGGAATTGGGAGCTCTCCTTTATCTTAGTTTTTTATTTTGTAGTTTAATATAATTTAGATTATAAAATAATTAAAATATAAAAGCTGGATTTGTTTTGCTGGTGTTTGAATTTCAGCTGTTCATTTTTGGAGAATTTAACCTTTCCCTGTTAATGCCAAAAAAAAAAAAAAGAAAAGAAAAGGGAATTGCCTGCATATTTAGGTTGGAGAAAAAAATTTTCTAGACATTAGTTGATAGGTAATAATTATATGGCAGAACCTCCCGTCCACCCCTCAAATAGGAAATA